TGGAGTTCTTTATTTCCCTTCCTTCCCTTACTAAGGTTCCTCTTGGTTTACAGGCCTATACTGAGCATGCCTCATATCCTGTCCAAGGGTAGAGTAAGCTGTGACCTTGAACCCTAGTCTCCAAGGCGGATATCCCCAATACCTGCTGCTGAATCTGCTGTTTGCCCATTATTCTTGCTTCCCCCGTGGCATGTGGTTTATCCACTCGCTTGGTTTATAATGATGGTGGGGGGTAGACAATGGCTCCCCATGCACACGCTCCAGTCCTCCTAGAAGGGAAAAAGCACTGCAAATGGGCTGGGAATGTGATCAGGACCAACAAAGTACCATTGATCCATCCACATCAATATGTGAAGCATAAGCCTCAGCTCTGTGCATAAGGATTAGGAAAATTACAGTTTTTTCTTAATGATAGAAAGTGAATAGGCCACGCATGGTGCCTACCACATGTATAATCCCACCACTTTGGGATGGAGGCAAAGTTGCAAGTTGGGAGGTTTGCTTGAGGCCAGGGAGTTTCATAGACCAGCCCGATGCAACCATGGTACATTGCACAAAATTTAGAAGGAATAAGAAAAAAGAAAAGCTGAGTGTAACACATTGGCCTGAGGGCTGAGGCAGGAGGATACTTGAGCCCTTGAGTCTGAGTTGTATTGGTGAGCTAATGGAATTGCACCACTTGCCTCTACGTTGGAAAAGAAAAGAAAAGAAAGCCTACCATTACAATGTCCAAGTAATCTGTGCCCCGTAAATATTTTAATGCCTGTGAGATGAAGAAAACTCTGGATTAATGTCTAATTTGGTGTTCTGTGTATCATGGAACAGGAATTCAAGCTATCAGAAATGACAATAACCATATGTAAATCCTATGGAATTTAGACAAACAGAGCTACTTGTCTGACTTCTAAGCTGTAATACCTTGTTATCTATGTTACTCAGGAACATCAGATTACCTGATTATGGAGATTATGTATCCAAATACTTGCTATTATCTATGCAAAATAATTTGACCTTCTGACCAAAGAGCCCCACCAGCTGATCTAACTGTATAGCTGGTCCAGCTTCCTGACCACAGAATTGGCCTGTGGTTTGAGGGTAATGATGCTAACTTAAAGGACCAGCCTAGTGGCCCCACAGATACCCAGACAGTCCTGCAACTGAGTGACTCCCAAATCCCATGTCTAACTTTTTAAAAGATATGACTTTTCAGCCTAACCATGTCAACTGGTTATTTTTCAAAGACCTAAAAAATATAAGAATTCATCCCATAGATAAATAAAAGTCAAAGTCCATTACCATTGCATTTTTTAGACTATTACATTGTATATTTTATAGAGAAACAGGTGGCAAAATTCAAGAACGATTAAATAGCATTACTAACTTCAGGTCCAGGCCTGCCACTTACTTGCTGTGTGACCTTGGGAAGCTACTTACCCT